GGCCTAGTAGGCCAATTCTAACCTGCAAGCCAGGTGGGTGGCCAATGTGCATGATGCCCATGAGTGTTGCATATCTCGGGAAAACCCCGGTATGAGCACCTGTCGGCAGGCCCCCTTCATGGACACCCGCAACAATGAGGGTGTGCATGTGCACGCTAGAAGTATGCACACGGGAGGCATGCACGCTGGGATGATGCACTTTAACAGTGTGCACACCGCATGGTTTGCTTGTGTCCCGTCTGCAGATCAGCCGCTACACGTCACTTGAGGAGCCAGTCATCTCCGCAGCACTCTCCGCACCCCTGCCCATCAACGCAGCAGCAGCAGCAAACCCCAAAGCCTCCCCTGGCAGTGCTGCCGACTCAGCAGTAGCAGCAGCAGCAGCGGATGCTGAGGAGCTGGAGCAGGATGTAGCACAGAAAATGGCTGCAGCGGTGTATGCTGCTTTTGCTGCGCTGTGGGGCGTGGTGGAGCGATGCATGCAGCTGACTGGTGGCACTGAGCTGCCTGGGCTGCTGGCAAGTTTGGATAAGCAGCTGGCTGGGTACCTGCAGAGGCTGCAGGCGGCTGTGGGCATCATCAATGGCAGGTGAGTGGCTTGCTGTTGAACTGTGTTGTGCTGTGCCGGCTGAACTTGAAATGGATGTGCTTAATGGTGATACCAGATGTAGCTGATGCAGGCCGCTGTGTTTGTGTTGCCCAAGGGCAGGATGCGGCCGCCTCATACCGCGGCGTTGGCAGCGATGAATGGCAACACAGCAGGTGCAGCCTTGCCATGACAGGTAGCTGGTGCACTCATAGTTGCACTAAACGTTTCAATTGAAACGAAACGTTTCGTTTCTAAACGCGTTTAAAACGCCAGTGCCTTGACTGAAACGCTGCTGAAACGCTGCTGAAACGCCATGTCACAGTATGCACTGTAGAGGCATGTAGAGGCCAGGTACACCTATGCTTTGCCTTTTAAATGCTTTTATATCATTGTTTCCAGTCTTTATAGTCAATACTTGACCCCAGAACTGTGCCTGCCGGGCTTTGAGGGCTGTCAAGGTAGTTGACAGCAGTACGGCTATAACACTTGAACATACTTGGCGATTGTCGCGTGACACATCTTCACAAAGTCACGATGAATCAACGTGTCAGTGCGTGATCTACTGATTACACATGATATCGTGTGAGTGTGTTGATGGTCACGGACCACGTGCCGCGAGGCACCACTGCACAGCAGCTGGAGGGCTTGCCCATACTGGTGACTGATGGGACAACAAAAGGTGTTCAGACAACATCAACGATATAAAGTAAATGTTACGAATATCCCCGAGTACCTGAACGGGCTGCTAGGCCGAGTAACAAGGGGTTCTGCATTCAAACGCCTGAGCCCCACTAGAGCTGCCGTTTAGATACAGCGTTTCACACTGAAAGCGTTTAAAACGCGCGTTTTAAACGTTTCGTTTCGTTTCATAAACAGCCTGACCCCACGTTTAGTGCAACTATGGGTGCACTGGTGGGATGCCACCAACTTGTGCTGTGCTTTGGATGCTGCTGGTTATGGCTCAGCCGGCAGGACTTATGTCGCTGCCTTGTCATACACATCTAGGGCCTGCCACTACTTGTTGTTGCTGCTGCTCCTGTTGCTTGCTGCCGTGTCAAACCAATCGATCAAGTCAGGTACACCGGACTCTGCTAACACACATCCCAAGTTTTCTTGCACCCCGCCACTCAAGATTTCTTTTTTGTTCTACATGTGTAAGGCCTGCAACCACCTCTTGTTGCGCCTGCCCCTGCTGCGTCCTATTCCCACCACTCCAACCAATACCACACAGGTACACCTGCCTCGCTGCAGCAGCCTCACCCGCTGCTGACGTCAGCGTCATGCTGCAGCTGGTGCTGCTGGCTCGCCACATCAGCAGCAAACTCAACGCCCTCGAGACACACCTGCGCAGCACACTCGCACAAACCATACCATGCCTGCAAGCCTTAGCAGCTGCAGGGCTACCACCGCTAGGATTGCCACCACCTGCTGTAGCAGCAGGCAGCAACAGCAGGGTGCGCCTGCTGCGGCAGTTGCAGCGGCGGCTGAGCTGCTGCCGCTGCGGCTGGCGGCGTTTCCGAACAAGCTGCCGCCGCTAGCCAAGCTGCAGGCTGCTGCTGCGAGCTCGCGCTTCATGTCGCTGCCATCAGCAACTGTCGCAGGTGCGCAAAGCATGTAAATAAAGGTTGTGTATGATTCTGCTGTATGTGGTGTGTTGTGATGGCGATCTGAAGCAGCAGCAAGGGCTAGACAGCCGCATCCTCTGCGCATAGATTAGGTAGCTATCAGTGGTGCACAGCTGTCTGCGTTTCCGAACAAGCTGCCGCCGCTGGCCAAGCTGCAGGGTGCCGCTGCAACAGTCGCAGGTGCGAAGCGTATCAACACATGTGTCCCTTTACACATGCTTGTTCTACTGTATATGGCTCAGTAATGTCGGACAATTGTCAAGGAGCAGCACTGGCTGCAACTGCAGCGTTCCCACACCATGAGATAGGTGGCAAATCTTGCTCAATAGATCAACGTGTTGGCTGAGGTCCTGCCACCAGCGCCCCTGCTGACTGAAGTGCAGAAAGGACTGACTTGCTGCTGCTGCTGCAGGTGGCGCCCTGTGCGAGGCCATATCTGCGGCTGTGTACGACGCGCTGCTGGCGCCAGTGGTGGCTGCGCTGGCACCTGCTGCTGCATTGATGCCAATACAACTGCTGCTGCTGCTGCTGCAGGTGGCGTGCTGTGCGACGCCGTATCTGCTGCCGTGTACGATGCGCTGCTGGCGCCAGTGGTGGCGCTGCTGGCGCCTGTTGCTGCACATTTTCCAACACTGTTGTTGCTGCTGCTGCTGCTGCTGCTGGTTCAGGTGGCGCGCTGTGTGAGGCCATCTCTGCTGCCGTGTATGATGCGCTGCTCGCTCCAGTGGCAGCGTTGGCGCCCCTGCCTGGCTTGCCTGACTGGGCTGGGGCAGGCAGCGGCACAGGCGTGATGCCGGGAGCAGGTGAGTTTGGCAGTTGTATGGATGTATGTGTGGATGTATGTATGGATGCCAGCTGCTTGGGGTTGCTGGTGCAGGCTTGAGCAGTATTGTGGGGCACTGGCATGACCACCTGCTACTGCAGCCACTGCGTTTTGGCAGCTTGCCAGCACATCACAACCCTGCATAGCACTTGGCGCAAGCAGGGTCGACAAGTCGGCAAGTACTCTGCTTTGAATGCTTGTATGAGGGTCTGGTCAGCAGCTTTCGTGGCAGGCAGTTGTACAGCAAGTTCCAACATGAGCCCTGTGTTGCTGCTGCTGCTGCTGCTCCTGCTGCTGCTGCTGCTGCTGCAGGTGCTGTGGTGCCGTCTTTCAGCGCCTACCCACTTCCTGCCGTAACTGCTGTTGGTGCGTTGATGAAAGGGTGCCGTGCTGCTGCTGCTTACTTTCATTTGCAGCGGCATGTGTGAAGCTTGCATTGCGTGACCAGATGGTATCAAGGTGATAAATAGTCTCAGCTGTCCTGTGTGTGGTGTGTACCTCACGTGCGCCCGCTTTTCTGTGCTGCCGCCAGGGGGGTACTTGAAAAGCCTGTTGTTGCCTTCTTTTGGGGTGCATACCCTTCTTGATCCTGCCTTTCTGTTGAGCTATGTACCGACTCCAGTGATGTGTGCTGCTGCTGCCAGGGGAGTACCTGATGGCGCTGCCGCAGCAGCTGGAGGTGCTCATGGGAGGTGAGGCAGCAGCAGCAGCGGGCGGCGGCAGCCAAGAGGCAGCTGCACTGCAGGCGGAAGCAGCAGAAGGGGATGAGCTGGCTGCAGAATGGCTGGACAGGGTGAGCAGTGTTTCAGGGCGGTGCTGTGGGTTATGGGTGTGGGGTAAGCAGAAGAGGCTGCATTACTGCAGCAGGCAGCGAAGGCAGCAAGGCTGCCGAGGGGCTGGACGGGCTTGAGCTGGGATCGCACTTGCTTGTTGCACCAACGTCCTCGTGGCACCCAGCAAGTCAGCCAGCCTGCTGCCCTCTTGTACGTGTTGTATGTGTACTGCTACTCCCTATCCAAGCCATTGTTGCCAAGATATGCCCAAATGTGCAATTGTATCCTGCAGGTGGTGCAGTGGGCTGGGTTGTTGTATGTGGATTCGCTGCTGCAGATCAATTCTCTATCACGGTCCGGCTGTGCTCAGCTGGCGGCAGACGCTGCCCTTGCACCCTCCCCTTCCCAGGTCGTCGGTCTTTGTATGTGCGCTGTTGTAGATTCAATTCTCCGTCTAACTCCAGCCAATCAACATGTCGCCTTGCTGCGCAAAACGTATGCTGCAGGCGGCGCAGGCCTGCTATACGCCGAGGCCCTGCTGCAGATCAAAACTCTGTCTCCATCCGGCGGCGTGCAGCTGGCAGCAGATGCAGAGTACATCGCCAACGTGATGGCAGCACTGGCAGTGGCGCCGCCGCCCGCGCTGGTCACTGCGCAGCTGTTTGCTGCTGCGCCTGCTGATGCGTTTGGCAGCCTTGCGGAGGGTGCGCTGGCGGGCGGCAGCGCAGACATGAAGGTGGGCGGCATTTGTGACTCTGTTGTTTGTTTGCTGCTTTGTGCTGTGGAAAGGCTTTTGCATCAGGTGACTGTAGCCTCCCTTTAGTTAAAGCTGGAGGGCACGCGGCGCCGGCGAGCAGCTGGCAGCAGATGCAGAGTACATCTCCAGTGTGATGGCAGCACTGGCAGTGGCGCCGCTACCTGCCCTCGTGACTGCGCAGTTGTTTGCTGCTACGCCTGCTGATGCGTTTGGCAGCCTGAGAGAGAGGTCTGTTACAGGGGTAGGCAAGCTATCACCCTAGAGTGAGTCACTTGCCCCTCTTTCAGTTCACATATCGTGAGAACCAGATAGCAAGCCACAAGATGCCACCAAAGTAAACTCCGGCAGCCTGGCGGAGGGTGCGCTGGCGGGCGGCAGCGCAGACATGAAGGTGAGAGGGGCAGGTTGTGGGCTGCTTGTATTTTGTTAAGCAGGCACCGTAGCTTAATTGGTAGAGCACTGGCTTTAGGTCGGGAGGTGCGGGTTTGAATCCCGCCGGTGTCGCCCCTCGCGGTCAGGAACCAGTGGCAGTAGGTCTGATCCCTGCTGTGGTGACCGATGAAATGGGGAGCGAGCGCTAAAAACTGGTACGGGTTCGTCCCGGTAGGAAGGCGCGTATGGGGTAGAATGTAGGTTGCGTGATCCGCACTAGTGCGCACACACGTAGCCTCCAACGGGCGCCCCTAAGAAAGGTTGAGACCGCTCTCCACATGTGGTGTGCACGACCGAAAGGCACCGTGGATTGCACTATGGTCTGGCTGCAGGTATCTGCTGTGGGTCGCTCTACAAGAGTTGATGGCCATAGAGTGCTATGGCGAGTGTAGCCGCTTAGGCCGCCTTGGCCCATAAACTTACGCGCCAAGCCCATCAAAGCTCGGCCCGCGTAGCTATTTCTATTCCTGTTATGCCGAGGTTTGCGCTACCACATGCCGCGCCTGCTAGCAGGTCTGGCAGCCTAGCGGGGGCCGCACAATACGATTGTGTGCATACAGCAGGTAATCATATCAGTCTATTGGTTCGCTAGAGCTGCTGTGTTGATGTTGATGTCGCCCTTGTGTTCTGCAGGTGCTGAAGGCCATTGCTGCAATGCGCGGCATTGAGTGGAGCGAAGCAGCAGCCATGGCAGCAGCAGCGAGTGCCAGCCAAGACAGTGCAGCAGCAGCAGCAGCAGCGCAGCAGCAGCCTGATGGCGACGAGCTGCTGTAGAGAGGCGCTTGGCAGTGGCTCAAAACCACGCAGCAGGGTCCGCAGCAACAGCTTCTAGCAGCGCGAGCTGTGAACTTTGTCAACAGAGAGGATCGCAGTATGTTCCTTGCGGCTGACACTGCTGGTGCGTGGTCCCACCGGTGTGGTGTGGTGTGTTGTTCCCTGCGAGCTTCTCAGTGCGTGTGCGCAGTGTGCTGATGTGACGAGCCACCACTCCCGCCATAGTGGCATGCAGCAGTGTAACAAATGACACATGACTGTAACAAGTTACTTTGCTTGGAGCCTTGCCAGCAGCCTGCCTGAGGCAGTGCTTGCAGCTGCATGAGGCACTCAGCCTTTGCACAACCACTCATTTGAAAAGTTGCACAATCCAATACTGGGGTGTGCAGCCTGCACAGGTGCAAGGTCCAGAGCTGCCAGGCGATTTGTGTCGAGGCAGCTGCAGTGGCCAGACACTCAGTGTCACACAGAGCCTGTAAGGTAGAGGCAGGCACCCGCCTACCGGTGTGCTCACAATCACCGTTACCATGATCATGGTTATGACCAACAGCACACAGTGTAATGGCCACACCTGTGGCCTCAACATGTCATCCTGCATAAGCGACTACTCTAAAGGCTAGGGCAGCCACTGCACAAAGCCTTGTCAAGCCAATCATGACGCAGCTACCTGGTCGTGTCTATCCTGCTGCGGGTCATGGCGGTGCTGCTGCTGCTGCTGCTGCTGCTGCTCAAGCTGTTGCTGCTGCTCATGTTGCTGCTGCTCATGTTGCTGCTGCTGCTGCTGCTGCTGCATCAGATGCATCGCACCCCCAAGCTGCTGCAAGCTGTCTGCCTGCTGCCGCGGCTGCCGTGCTGCTGCTGCCATCGCTGCCAGCTGCTCAAGGTGAGGGCTCAGCTGCCTGCTTGTGGCCAACAGCTGTTGCCCAGAGTTAACCAGGCCAGCAGCAACACCCTGCATGCATGCAGCATGCCCATGCACAGTGTCAGCAGTTGCGCACAGGAGCAGCAGGTTTTGCTCGCTGCAGGCACAGCCACAGCAGCACTGTGCAGTACAGTAAAAGCATTAGATGAAAGCTTAGGTGGCTGGTGGTGCAGCAGCATTGCAGCAGCGTTGTCAACTTGCTGACCAGCATGGCACATAGGATGCAGGAGCTGCAGCTGGTGTACTTGCGCTGATCCACGGTTGGCAGAGCTGGTGACTGCCACACATGCTGACCCTGACCGGTGAAACAGTCTCATTCAATACGTTTGTACGCAGCTGGTGTGGGCAAGCAGCTGTGGCATAACAGGCCTGCTGCGAATCAGGTGTGATGCGCTGTTGCTGCTGCTGTTGCTGGTCCTAATGCTGTTGCTGCTGAGCCACGTGGCCTAGCGAGGCCAGCAGGCTCCTAAAGTAATGCTGCCCATTACCTGCAGCTGTTGGGCTGCGGCCTGGTGCAGCAGCACGTTCTCCAAATCGTACGAAGCCACGGTATGCGAGGACTGCACGCTGTTGCTTGCGAAAGATTGAAGCTCGCTGCCTATGACGCCGGCCGCCTCATTCATGCTCGTTTATAACTTAATAGAGGTGTCCGATACTTGAACCCAAGAGCGAGCTGGCTTGCTCACGGCAGCAGCACAGGCAGGACAACTGCAGGTACAGATGCGGATGCTGCAGGAGGGGACTTGCCAGGGTGTGGTTCTGCAGCAGCTTTTGGTTGAAACGTGGCTTGGATCAGTGTGATGTTGGCTTTGCTGCCCATACAGCATCATCAGAGCCTGCAGGCAAGGGTGGTCACTTTAGGGTTTTGAGTTAAGGGGGAAAGATGGTATTAGCATTCCTAAGCCGCCAGGCGCCTGCTGGCGCTAAAAGTCTGTTTATGGGCATCTTATACTATAATATAAACATCCTGTCAAGACTGGGCCGGACCTTGAAGTTTGCACTTGAGTGAGTTCGCACTTGAAGTGAGTTCCTTGCTGCTGTTCCCCGTACTGCTACTGTCAACTGCCGACAGCTACTCCAGTGATTTGGGACGCCTGGGAGCTGTAGCCAGCAGGCCTAGCTGTACTAGCACTCATATTATCACAAAATATGACTGATATGAGACTGCTAGCCTTCCATGTGCTACATGCGATGCTCACCGACAGGCCTGCCGTCGTAAGGGCCCCCGTGTTCAGCCAAACAACTACCGAATTGAATGTCGTCCAGTAGATAGAATGAATAGCTGGTAAAGATCATTTTGATGCAGTGCTGCCCAATCCTATTCGGCCAGGAGTGCCACGCCGTGTTCGTGCACTGCGATCGGACAGAGCAGGTCTGGCCGAGTAGGATGGCTTCAGCGTTTCTTTTACAACACTTTTTTACAAACCCAGGGATTACGACTCTGCAATCTCAGGCCGAACGGTAAATTTTTGATCCCGCTGCCCATGTCTACTGTCATGCATGCAGCAGGTCTCAGCCAGCCATACTGGTGCCTGGCCCCCGGCCCCATCGACCTTACCCGCCGAAGAGGAGTCATAACTTAAATAATGTTTGAGTGAATGTGTGCAGTTGTGGCGCTTGTGTTGAGTTTCCCAGCACCCCAGTCAATACCATCTTTCCCCCTTCAAAAAATTGACTGTATGGTTGTGGTGCCGGGCAAATAGGTGGCTTGCAGGTAAACACACCTCAGGCAAGCTATTATTGAGCACACATCTCAGCTACGCGCTGCAATAGAGCCACTCAAGGTGCCCTTGAGGCACTGCAGCACTCTGTCCTCAGGCAGTCTAAAGGCTCGTTTCTGCGGCGTTGTGGAAGTGTTGTGGAAGGCTTGCCACAACGAATTGTGTTTCTGCAGCGTTGTGGAGCCTCGTTGTGGAGAGCGATAGCGTTGTGGAATTTCCCACCACCTCCGTGGGTAGTGTGGAGAAGTGTGGCGTTGTGGAAGGGAGAACAGCAGTGGCCAGGCCAAATAACAGTCGTCTTCCACAAAGCTCCACAACGCTGGTAGAAATGAAATCGTTGTGGACAGCTCCACAACCCAGCGTGTTGGAAAGGTTCCACAACCACTGAGCGTTGTGGTAAGTGTTGTTGTGGTGCAGAAACGGGCCTTAAGTTGGCAACCGTGCAGGCATTGCTGCAGCGCTGGTAAGTCCCATCTGCGAGCCGCTGGTTGCTTCTTTTACGCAGTCCCAGTCCTGTGCTAGTGATGCCAAGGTGACTTATTGGTGTCACTCAGATCATGCCATCATGTTAAGGGGGAAGGATGGTATTAGAGTTCCAGAGCCACCAGGGGCCTGCTGGCTGTGAAGTGTGCAAATTACTACACCTTATATCATATTAACACCATCCTATCGATGCTGGGCCGAAACTTGAAGGTTGCATCAGTACCCGGCACATGCTGGGGTCAGTGCCTTGCTGCTGTCGCCAGCAGTACTACTGTCAAATGTCGACAGCTGCTGCAGTAGTCTAAGACGCCTCGGAGCTGCAGCCAACGGTCGCAACGTTTATAATAGTACAATTATGAACTGTACAAGGCTTTTGAGCGTTTAATGAGCTGTCTGCGATGCTCACCGCCCGGCCATTTATCATCAAGGCCCGCGTGTGGAGCCAAAAATCTGCCGAATTGAGCGGCGTCCAGCAAATAGATCGGTTAGCACGCTAGACTATTTTGACGAAGAGCTGCTCGATCCTGTTCGGCCAGGAGTTCCAGGCCGTGTTGATGCACAGGGATCGGGCAGAGCAAGTCTGGCCGAATAGGATGGCTTCAGCGTTTCACAATACATTCTTACAATACCAGGGATCATGATTCTGCGATTCCAGGCCGAACGGTAAATTATTGAGCCCGCTGCCCATATCTACTGTCATGCATGCAGCAGGTCTCAGCCAGCCTTACTGGTGCCTGGCCCCCGGCCACATAGACCTTTGGCGCCGTAGAGGCATCCAAACATACATGAAATTTGTAAATATGTGTGCACTTGTGGCGCTTTTGCCAGAAATTGTGTTTCCCAGCACCCCAGTTAATACCATCTTTCCCCCTTAACAAAAAGGAGCAGTCCATCTGATAAAGACACCCTCAAACCCATTCCACACTGTCTGCCTGGCATACAATGCAGAAGTCGCTGTCACTGTGGCACCATCAAAAGTAAGTGCCCTGGCTTTTGAACCGGCGCCTTGCAAAATCACCAAGTATTGATAGCCACCTTGTGCAGGCGCTGCTTGCTGCCAACAGCGTCACTTGTGCAGTTCACTTTCAGCCGCTGGTCATGACGACGGGCGGATCTGTGAGACATTGGCTGGACACAAAACTCCATTGTTTTGTAAAGGAAGTAAGCAGGAT